TTCATAAACTTTCAATTCTAATTTTGTTGCTTTCAGTCTCTTGATAATTCCTACTTACGACTATCTTTCACGAATTCCATGCTTCATATTTCAAATTCCTTTATTTTTGGTCCATCTCAGAATTGTCAGTCTGTCTTTCAATTGCATAACATTTGTTAAATTACTTCAAATATTTTCTCGGATGAATAAAATTAGTGATTCGAGAATACCGTGTAACAAATAAAACATTCAGCATTTGAGAAAAGCCTTTAGAAGATGTAGTGAAAACTTTGAAATTTACTCAATGAATCTTTTGACGTGTCAACAACCGCTGGCTACTGGTAAACAGTGACAAAATTAGTTTCTGTCAGGGCCGAATTCATGTGCTTGCTGTGGCTTGTCCCTCTTTGTCGTCTAAGTCATTACTGGTAACATTCCTCTTGCTGTCATCCCTTCTCTGCAAGAATAGCTCTTCAAGAAAATGCGTATCTGATATTTCCCTCCGTTCACTTTCAGGCAACACTCTTTCCACCACATTTCCTCATTATTTCCATATATGCTTCTACAGTATGCTAATTTAGGATACGGAGAAAAACTATCTTTCTTCTCGAACTGATTTTGTCACCTGGTGATTTGACATCATCCCTTACGAATTACAAGTTTATTTGCTTGAACGGTCTGAAATGAGTTTTGCAGATAGAATTACGCTAATAACACAGTTTCAGTTGGAGGAGCAGAATGAACGTTTGCGGTTGCAAAATCTGAAGTGCGCTGCTCAGCTACAAGTGCTAAAATCGTGTGCCGATCGAGCAAAACATTGGCAAACTTCTGCTCTCTTCTCCAATTCTGTGACGGTATGGTTGTCACTCCGTGCGTGCAATACTAATAATTGGATCAGTTTGATAAATTAGAACTACCATTTCTTCTTTTGAATTAAAATCCGCAAAACAGATGATACTATGACAACATCATATTCACCAATACATTACGGTGACCACTATAACAGTGGTCACCGTAATATATTGGTGAATATCTCAAAAAAGCACATGCGGGATGGACATTGGCGTTTCGAATCTCTTTTTACTGTCGTTAACAACGATGTCGTGAGATTGTGGTTTTTAACTTTTAGTAGTTCTGGACTGGTACATTTGCAGGGAGCAATATCTTTGACAATGATGGACCGAACATCGGATGACAGCGGTTTGACATCTGATGATACAGGGGAGAAAAAGGTAGACCAAATGATGATGACGCAATCAGCTTCTGCTCTCGGTAAAGGCAATTCACTGCGACATCCTAAAAAGCCTGGCTAGTTCTCTGATATGGCTCGATAACTTTCATAGCCATTTAAGAGCCTTTTACAAATTTCATCTCATTTAATGCTCGGTTTTTGAGTCATTTTTATCCCAAATTTCAATTGAGTTTTTGAACATGTGCTTTGACAAAAAAGTACAGAACGCATCATTAATTTGTTAACCGCTTTATGTTAGCTAGATGTGCTTGCACACATCTGTGTTTTCTCGAGGAAATCTCAGGTTGAAATATTGTTCGTCGAAGGCATAATTTGGTCTATTCAAGATCTATTTTGTTTAAATCGAACCAATTAAATACATTAAAATATCTCACTGCCCTGAAGCTTATTATTCTCATTACGATTTAGACCATCACTTTGAACGTGTCATGTAACTAAGAGAGGTTTCGATGAAGGAAAGTTTACTTCCATTTGAAATCCAGGAAGTGGTGGCCGGACATTTTACCTTCATTTTTAAATCTACTTGTAAATCTTACGATATATAAGATTGAATTTACATACGAATTACTGTATTGTTTGCTGCTGTAAAGGTCCTACACAAATTTCTAGCTCCAAAACTTTGAGGCTCATTGTGCTTCTTTATTTATTTTTTACTTACATTCATTTGCAAGATTTGATGTTTTATTTTCAGTTCGTACGCACAGTTCATCGCAAGGAAGAGAAAATCAAGGCGCTGAAGCATCATCAACTACCGATTCTTCACCACGTGAAGAGAAATTGAAACCAGTACCAACTCCACGGAAAACAAAGTCTGCAAAGCCGCCCGATCCAGTAACCGTAAGATTTTGTTTTCCTGAATTTTAGAAAACCGGTATATTTAAACTTTTCTACCTTTATATTTGAACTGTTAAAAAATATGAGGGAAATGGTTGACAATGCTTTTCAAATTCTGATTTAATCACATTGATCCAGTTAATTCTCAGCTTTGCTGAAAGCAGCAAAAATGAACCATTTATAAAATGCTAATTTGCATAGTTTTAGAAGTGATTACAAACATAGTTTTGAAGTGTTTTCTGGTAAACTTTTCAAAAGCTGGAAGTGCTTTCGCATTGTTGGTAATTTATTGACAAGGAAGGAAATTTCTCTGCTGCTTTGGCGTTGAGTTTGATAAAAATGTTGAAACAACTTAAAATTTATTTGTTTTGCACTTCTTCCTTCTTTATGAATTCAAGCACACTATTTTAAATGTTGCTTTGTTGGGAATTAGTTACAGCTTCAAGACCAGGGAAGTTTGGTTTGTCTGCATAAAATTGAATATGGCCTAAAATCTAAAAAGAGTTCTATAACGAAATGTTTTGGCGGTTCTCTTTTTGCGTTTTTGTTTTGAAATCTCTAAAAGAATTCTCGATGGCTTATCACTTTCATCAATTCGATAATTAAATGAGAATTTTGATTGGTGGTGCTAACGTTTCAAAGATTTAAATTATGGTATAAATATTTAATTTTTCGGAGTAGTCCAAATGGTTTAAATGACAATATTTCCTTGCAATAATGCTTGTGTTAGGGTAGGGTTGAATAAAAAATATGTTTATAAACCAATATTAGAATTTTGCCGTCCTATAGCATTTCTTTAATTGATGAATTTGCAATAAATGATGAGATGTATTTCTAATGGGGAAAATGATGAGATGTATTCTGATGGTTTAAATAACTTCTCAAAAGCAGTTATGTGTTAAGGAGACTGTGTCAAGATTTGCCTGATAACTAGTTTCTAAGGTTTTTTTTTTTTATTACCTCGTACTGTTAGAGCCGCTGATTCGTCGCTTGCTGTGTGTTAAGTTCTGGAGATGTATGTGATGTGCTCAAAGGTGGGCAGACAAAATAAATCATCAGTGTTCGTGGTTTGCACATTTTCACTTTATTGTTTGTCCGTTCATACCTCATACTTTTCCCGTCTCCTCACTCACCATTATGGTTGAATGCTCCATTAATTCCTTTTTTTTTTAAATATTTCCTTTCGCTACATTTTTCGTTAATATTTTTAACTGTTCATTGTTAATTAATTCGTTATTATAATTTACATAAATGAGATCTGCCCATTCATTAGCATACTGGTATCCTTGCATTCGAGATAGTTATCGTCCCTTCATCATTCATGATATCTTGAAAACGTTTGGAAGTCACTTTAGAAGTCCGAATAGACGATCATCGTAAAATTTCGCATAATCAGCTGAAAACAAATGGCATTTAACTGGATTTGATTCATAGTATCCTAGACTTCATAGCTGTCTTTTTCCATATTCAAAAATGGACATTGTGATTGATCAGCTCGTATTCGTTGGAAATAATGCCACTATTTGTGAAATATTAGCTTTTTTCGAGCAGCGCTTGGAATGTAACTGAGAAGTCTAAACTTTCGACTGTATTCTTTTGCCGCTCATTGCAAAAACCTGTACTTAAATTTTCTTAAGTATTTTCATAAATAAGGTTGGAAATGAACGAAACAGGATTTATTTCAAATTTCGTGATGGAATTTTGCTTGTTGAATATTTTGACAGTATTTTGGTTAGAATGAGCAAACTTCACGGAATTAAAAAAAAGAAAAAAAGCGGAATTATAAAAGGACAAGGATCATTTGCTTTTTTGCGATCCAAAATTGTATGAATGAAAATTGTCGCCATTCAACTTTCAGATTGAAAGGGATAGTTTGAATTCGTATGACGAGGAAAATGATTATGGGGAAGATGATGAATTTTTCGATGAAATCGAATATTCGGCGTCTCCTGAAAAGTACACTTTCCATTATTTTTGTCAACTGTTATGCGACTATTTACTTTTCCAGTTTAATGACAAAATTATCACTATCTAATCAAAATTGTCCAACATGCAGTAAGGTAACTACTTTTGAAGAGCAACTGATGATGAATAGATAAAATACCTTGTCTGCTATAAAAAATAGCCATTAATGACAAAAGGTAAGGAGAAGATCGAGTAGCACAGTACGGAGAGAGATATACGAAAAAAGCAAAAAAGGAGGATTCAAGTCCTTGCAACATTTTTGGCCACAGCTTAAAGTTTTAGACTCTAGATTAATAACTTGCCATTTCAAAAACAGCGTCTAAAGAATGTTTTTGAAATGGATGACTCATGATCCAAGCAGGTTGAGGAAATCGATAATTTTTTCTCTTTCATAATAAATTAGCTTCACTGAAGGCTCTCTCAATTTGAAATAATAAGAAAAATTGTTCCTTATAGTGAGCTGAGAGCACCCTACATTTTGACTTTGTCCAGCATTTAACTTGATGTTCTCTATTCCCAGTATTTTTTATGGGAACAGACGCAAACGAAAAGTGTTGTGGAATTCTCTGAAATTTTTTTGTTTTGATGCTTTTGAAAAGTTAGTCAATCACAATTCAGAAATGAAAAGTTGGTATCTGCTAGGGTCACTCTTCTAATTATTCAGTGCTGTGTCTCCTAATGATTTGTGACAGTTTAATCCACCGACTGACTGCGATGGCTGTGCATCGGCCATTTTGATTTCGATAACTAGCACACAGCAAAAATATTACTTCAAACAGAACAAAAAAAGCTCTGTAAAATTTTAGCCAAGCATTTTATGCTCCAGAGATGAATTTTTTTTGTCAATAATTTCCTTTATTATACTAAAAATTTTTCAGGGATGCTGCCGACTATGTAAATCTGAACGAACTTTTTCTGTTAGGATCAAATACTTACAGTACAATGATGCATCATCCCCCTGCCTTACCACTGCACAAGCCGCCAAGTCATTGGGTAAGTGCTCGTTTGTATCTGCTTCTGAGACACAGATTTTAGAACTTTTTTAGCAATCCTAATCATCCTATACAGGATGTGGATCTAATGTATATGGTTAAATATTTTGCAGGAGACCAAATTATATCAAATAGCAGAGCGCTGCCTTAGTACAGTGATAAATGAAGATCAGTTGGCTCAATGCAGTGATACCTTGAATAGAAATATGAGTGATAATGTAAGTAGCCCTTTTTCTTAATGGGGACAATTTTCTAATTCTCAAGCTATTGAAGTGAAAATGGATTTTTTAGACAAGTGACTTGTGCTCCTCTCCTTCACGTGGTTCCGGTGAGAGCTCAAGATCATCAAATCAGCATAAAAGCCGCATTGATTTCACAAGTATCAAGGAAGGGGATTATGCAATACCACCAGATGCAAGTCAGGATATCAGAGCAACTTTGATCAATTCTACTGAGCCTGTAGGTCACTTGCTCTCTATTTATTAAGCATACAACTGCCCGGATAAATTTTGTGTTTTTTAAATCTTTATGGTTAAATAATTGCTGTTTTAGCTAGAAAAATGTGGTTATTTGATACAGATGACTGATAGTAGACTCAAGTCGCTGAAAAGGCGTTATTTTGTGTTCAGGAATGGCTTTCTTACTTTATATAGAACGCAGGTGAGTTAGTTACCGTGGATATCATTCAGTTCTGCTATTATTTCAGTTTTCATTACATTCTTTTTAGTAATTCAGTCCCGTGATTTTTATCACGTCAGGGAAAGTAGTCCTTTGCTGAATTTAAAATTAAATTAGTAATGATCCAGCTAAACCCAAACTTACCTTTTATTCTTTGTTTCCTAATACCCAGATCTTTATTCACGGAAACAACTTTTCAGAAAAATCATTTAAAAGGGGAGGAACCACTGATTAGAATTGCAGTGTCCGATATTCGTTCCGTCACAAAGCTGGTCAACAAAATGGGTTACGGTTTGCAGGTTTTTTTTTATTAAAGTTTCATCTCTCAACACTTTCCTACTATTTTTTGTTCCCGCAATGAAAGAAATAAGTGAAGAAAAAATAAACGAATTTAGGTTTTTGTTTTCTTTTTCAAGGAGAGGTAGAATAAAAATCATTCTTTACTCACTTTTATAGATAACGACTGCAAATAGTGAATTCTGTTATGCAGCTGAATCAGATCGTGCTACAAATGAATGGATTGCTCTTCTGACGCGTAGTTTACATACTGCAACTCTTTCTGAAGTTAGTCAGCGTGCCACGGGGCTTAACGCTGACATTAATGGCTACGTCTTAAAGGTTATGCAATATTTGGTATTTTATAATGCGACATTATTAATGGTTATTTTGCGGAGTTATAAATCAGTGGGATTAACAGCATCATTTTCGTTAATTAGATGGCTAACATTTTTTTAATCAGATGTAAGTAGCAGTGTTTTACTCTGTTTTAATGGCTGAAAAAATCACTGTATAATAAATTTCAGGCGAAATGTGGTAGTGCGAAACGTTTTTTCGCATCTGTAGTAGATAATAAATTACTGTTTTTCAAGAGTTCTGATGATCGGGTTAGTGTTCTGTATCTTCATTTGCTCCAAGTTTTTTTTATTCTTTGACTATTATGGCGCAAAGCTGAATATGCAGCAAAATTTTTTTTTTAAAGAATATTGATATAACGTGTTTATTTTCAGGTTCCTTGTTCCCATATGTATCTACGAGGTGCACATATCTGTGAAAAAATCAAAACTGCTGCTGATGAATCGGGTGGAAGTTCTGATGAACAAAATGAAAATTATGCGAAAGAGTTCGGTCACACTATCTCGATCGAGGTCTTTGTTGTCACGATTAACATTTTTTAATTCTCTTTGATTTCGCTAGAATAATTTACGAGATTTCTGGAGTTACCTGCTGTGCATCCATTCTTACACTCACTTTTCTGAATTACGGATTTAGATTGCAAACGTCGACCCAGTTTACATTGTTTTGCGAAGTGCTGAAGAAAAGGATAAATGGATCTATTTTTTGAAAAAGGCCGCTAATGATGCGACATTCAGTGGAGCTGCTTTCGAGGTACTCATACAAAGGATGATGACGCAAAATGTAGATGACGGTGAAGATCTTTTTACTGAAACATTTTTCGTTCCCTAATCTATATGATATCTTTTTCGGAATAGTCTTTATGTAAGATTTTTTTCATCAATGATTTGATTTCGATAAAAACTTTTTTCGGTGCATTTGTAACTAACAAAACGGTTTGTTTGTTCTTCCCCTCATAATTAACCAGAAATTTCAAAACTGTCTCGTTACGGAAAGAGGAATGAATCTCGCTTTTCATTATTTTTGCTTATTTTTCATATGAGAACGTGAAGTTTTTGTTTTTCCCCGTTTTTTTTTGTCATTTTGCAAAACTTTATATAAATTTTCAAGTTCTCGCCACGTTATTAGGCTACAAATTTAAGTGCAGAAAGAAATTTGAATATCTGTTAATAGATTTTATTTTTTCAGGAAGGATAAGATTACAACTTTTTTTTCGAAGTATTCATACAAAGGATGATGAATGATCCAGTTTATATGTTTTTTTCTCTTATTGTATTTTTCTCCTTCAGAGAATTTATTGTGGAATGATGTACTTTTGACAGCGTGTGAAGAAAAGCCGAAGGAAACATTAACAACAATATTAGATGAAACACTCAGAAAGAAAGCACTAGAACTTGGTCGAGCATGCTTCATGTTTACTTCGGTGCTAATGAGACCAACAGGAGTTCAGTATCATATTGATCTAGCGCAAAACATTCTTACTACAGCGATGTCCAGTGATTTACTCAAAAATGAACTTTATGCTAACTTGATAAAGCTTACGTCCGGTTCGATGTCATATGGGATTCAGGTAGATGTTGCTTCCTTATTGTTGTTCTGATTCTGTTTTTTAACCCGAATTACAGAATTTTTTGTCTTTATTGACGTGCCTACTTACCTAAATACAACTTTATTACTGTCAATCGGCAGAAATTAATTTCATAATAATTTATCTCGTGTTGCTAATTTCAAATTATTCTCCGTTTTGAAATGTTCGATTTCAGTTTTGTAGAATTCTTAACAGTAATCGCCTCAATATATCGAAATTTCAACTACTTTTAGGCTTGGAAATTAATGGCTTTAACGACACCGTTATTCACACCGCGGCAGTATTCGCTTTTGTGGTTGCTTCGTCGACATATCGAAAGATGGAGTGGAAAAAGGTTTTGATTGCATATTTCTATTTTAACGTATTCCCAAGTGGAAAAAGGTTTTGATTTTATATTTCTATTTTAACGCATTCCTATCTTTCCTCTCTTTACCTTTTCATGTTGTGAGTAGTTTTACTTGTTACTAAATTTTCAGCCAAAGCTAAAATTGTAGTTAATGTGTAGCCTTATTCATATTTTTTTGAAACATTAAGCTCTTATGGTGTCTAATTTTTAATTATTTTTCAAGATGTGATGAAGGTAATTTTGCATTGTATTGTTTGCATGCTTTCAATCGTTGTTTGAAAGCACGTGGACGAACAGAAGGACCGAGTAAACTTGAGGCAATCTCCATATTAACCAGGGATCCAACTTCAACTAATATGCCGCATAGTATCCCAGTACTGCTACCAACCAATGAATATCAGGTAAGCTAAAAAAAAGTGTTTTTACGATTAAATATATTATGCGACACTGAATGTCTGTTTTGCATAGTATTCTTTTACTTTTCAAGAACCAATGTTTGCCCGTTATTTTTATTATCAGTCGCTAAGTATGAAATATTTAATCATATTGTTAACTTAAAATGCTTTCAAGGTTATCGATTTTGATGGTTCCACGCTTATTGGTGATTGTTTGTCAACTTTATGTATGAAGTGTGGTTTACGACCACCGCTTCTGAGTGGTTACGCTTTGTACGTGGAAGATCCGTTGGAGCGGAATTCTTATCTTCTTCTAAAAGGCAAACAGAAAGTAAATTCACATATACTATGATTTTATAATCGCTACTGTTGATTTCCTTGAAATTTTCTGGCGGGCTTCCGAAATAATTAAATGCATAACAAAACTGCTGAGAAACTGAATTATTTCCCAGTTGTGTGACTGTATATCACGTTGGGAACGTGAACTGATGGACAATAAATGTGGACGAGTCACTGAAGACGTTGCTCGGATAAAATTATCTATTCGACAGAGACAATATTGGAGTCATCTGGTCTCTTCGGAAACACCGACAGAGCGCATATTTTTGGTGCACCGGATGGCTAGTGAAATTGTTGCTGGAAGAATACCGTTGAGCAGCGAATTAGCGGAGGAACTAACAGCTGTTTATGCACAAGTAAGTTATTTCCATGTTTCTGTGCAGATATATGGAATAAAATTATGCTTACTTTTAAATCGTCTTGGCTCTGATGATGGTAGACATTTCAGCTCAAGTTTGGAGACATGGGAACAATATCCGATGAACAGTTCCGTGAAATTATAACCTCTTACTATCCCTCAAAGCTTCTCGATGTTGTCTGTGAAAGACTGTTAAGGTTAGGTCAAGTTAGATTTTCAGCCTATTTTGACTGTTTCAAGTCTTTGTTTTTTAACACCAGTTTAGATTAGAATAAAAGTTCGTAAACAATATTTTTATTGAATTTATGAAAACACTGATTTTAGATTAAATCTCGAAATGAACTGGTCGCAGCTACGTGGTACTTCGACAGCAGATTGTATTCGCATGATACTAGTTGTTTTGCGGAAGTGGCGCTTTTTCGGATCATTTATTACGGAAGCACGAATGAGGATGCGTAACGACGAAAGTTTGTTCATTGCCCTCAATGACCAAGGCGTCCATTTGCTCACTTTTCGTCAGCTTGTTAGTATTTATTTCCGTATAGTTCTTGCTGAAATGCAATGTAAATTGTCAATATTATGGTGTGCGAAATAGGTCTGTATAGAGATGTCTAGAAGTCGAGATATTTAACTCAGAAAAGGCTTTGCGTAGCGATAGTTTTTTATTTGCCTCTTTAAAATAACATGCCATTACTTCTAATTTTCTCTCAAAAAAGTTCATTTGGGAAATATTGGTTAAATTTAGTTTGGTCATTATATGCAATGCTTGATAGTTTACATTGTGCTTGTGAAATTTGCAGGATCTCATAAGAAGTATTCCTTACCATCGACTGGTCTCATTCGGTGGTTATCGTAATGACTTTATGCTCACCATTGAGAGAGTACTCCCGCCTCAAGCACATCCTGAAGAAACGGCTCGAGAAAGATTGACTTTTTCAATGCCTGCAAGAAATATTGACCAGGTTATTACTGTTTTCCCAAATTTTCCAGCATAAACTCGTGAATCAAAGAGCTCCAAAAGCGACTTAGCATTTTTTTTGGGCTGAAATTTCTGCTATGAAAGTCTATTTGATTAAAAGTAAATTAGAGCCATAATTGTCAATTGTTTCAGCTCACGTGTCATTTGGCGGAATATATCCGGTGTCAGAAATTAATTTGGAAGCTTTCGATACGAAGCTCATAATTATGTACATAATTTTGAATATTAATGCATAATTTCACATTGTTTTTCGTGCTCCTTTTATCTGCTCACTGTTATTATTTGAGAGAGAAGTGCCCATAATTTCACTAAGTATTAATAAAGTGGAGATATGTCACTGAATAATATATGTCATACTTCCTTCATTTTCTTGAAAAATTTCATGGCATTAAATATATTTGTTTTGCAGTGCCTGAAATTGATAATTTGTTCGGCTTATCAACTAAACGTAAATATTTGTTAGTCCGTGCTTCTGTTTGGGAATATTTTGGAGATTGTAGTATTTTAAATGAAATTTGGAGTGTTAAAGGACGACAGGGATTGGCACTAGTCACAGTGAATGCTGTCAGGGACATTGTTGATCTTTTTTTTCTTAATAACTGTTGTCTTTTTTGTCCAATCGGTTTGACGGAATTATATAACCACTTTGGAGCTCATTATCGAAAAGTGTGTGGTTGGCTTAATTGGAATTCGATTCCGAAATGAGTTTAGTGATGAGCCGAAATGAGCTTAGGGATTCCTGCAAGTCTAATTAGCACTAGTTTTGATGCTAAAAGTGTATAAGGAGTGTTATTAGCAAAAACTTCACTGCAAATGCAGTTTTTTCTCGCAAAACAAATCACAAGCAAAATGAGAAAAAAGAGTGAATACGGGAACGTGACAACAGTTGGTGGAAAAGAGGCTGAAACTGAGCACTTTTTCTCTGAATTCTTTGAAGCATCTCTACTTTTTCCTGCTTTTCCAATGAAACAACGTGGATAATTTCAGAGACGCGCTAAAATAAGGCAAACAAAGAGGAAGAATAAAGTCCATTTCTCTACATGGAATCCCCTGAAAACTCAGTAAAATAGCTTTACCATTCGAATCCTTCCATCCTATAATTTTCTCAACAGAAACAAACAACATGAGTGTAAGTCTCACATTTCTCTCCTTATTTGATATTCATAATAGTGCTTTCTATGCAGTGATTTTTAGCTATTAGTAGTATTACTGATGTTGAAATAGTCACTTTTTTTTGTGCTTGATGGAAATCATTTTTCACTTCTTTCGCTTCTATCACTTTTTCCGCAATTATTTTTGTTCAGTCAATCACATCATCGATAAACATTCATTTGATTCAACATTGACTACTCCGGCATCAATATGTTAAAGTGTATGACATGACAATAATTTCACATTTATAACAATAATAATAGGTGCTCGAGCTATGTGCGCTAAAATATTAGTTGGTATCAGTGTTGTCACATGACTTCCTGAACAAAAAACACGTGACGTAAATACGAGTAAAATTACTGGAAAACATTAAAATTGAAGAATGCGATCTTAATCAGATCAATATGTTAAACACTTTCGAATCCTACTTGGCGATTTAAGGCTTATGATTACACTGGACGATAATTAAAGTACAATAATGCTTTTCCAAAATGCTTCATTACAAACTGATAATCCTTGTTGATAGCAAACACTAAACATTAAACTAAGATGTTAGCATAATCGCATAACTTTTTCAAAAAAATTCTATAAGAATTATTTATCAAAATGAAAAGTAAAAACCATTCCTTTGTACAGTAGAGCATTCAAGCGTTACAGCCCATTTCTTTCTCATCTCGAATTCGATAGAAATATAATCGAATCTAGAAATAATACTTTTTAGCCAAACCAACTCGTCAAACTCAGAATAACGTAAAAACTGGCGATCACTTCCATTAATAATGATATCATTATTTGTGGCTTTAACTTTTATACTAATTTCAACTGGATGTGTTAAATCTTTCTTACCAAAACAAATGAAACACGATGTTGTTATCTACTGGTCTTACGTAACAAAGTCTGTTATTATTGGTACTAATTATTGGAGAAGTCTAGGAATTACCATTAAATTTGACCCTTTACTAACTGCCTCACGTTACACTACGGTTTGCAAAACCATAAGTATTTCGAAAACACGAATTATTTTGAATCTTAAAAAAAATTTGAGGTATTGTTTATAAAGCCTAATTCATTTACCTGCCCATAACGTATCGTTTTTAAGAAGCTATTTGAAAGGTTCAAGACCAGCCATTCTCTATGGTTGGATTCTGATTATAAGGCAATTTGGGATAGGATCTGAGAATGAAAAGAACGACGTACGAGAGATATCAAGATTGACATATTAATATTCGATATCCTGCATCGAATCATCTGGAAGCAAAAAATGAACATAGAGAAAGAGAGTAAAAGGCATTTACTTGAAGTTGCAAAGGAATTCACTCCAGTTCTACTTTAACTTTTACTGTAACGGAACCATTTCAATCGAGTATTACTAAATTTGTACAATTTGCAAATTAACTAAAGTTTTGGACAAGAATATTTGATGAACGTCTATAAATGGCATGAGACATTTCTGCTTAACCGTAGTCGTCTATTTGCAGCTTCATTTGAGATAATTTATTGAAAATCTAATGAAAAGTGAGGCGAAATATACAAAGAAATACAAAAAGCGCGATGCTCTACAATAAACCATTGAATATACTTATTAGTACACCACACGAATCAGATGTGTGAGCCGAATCATCTTCCTGCAATGCGCCTTATTATTAATTGTAATTTACTTACAGATTTCTCAAGCGAGAAAACACCGTCACACATGACTGCGAAGAAACTCTCCATTGCAAACAGAAGCAATCTCTACGACTACAGTATTCCCAATGGGACTACAGTACTTTCAATGTCTCGACAGACACATGCATACACGGGCAAAAGGTATTTCGCGGCTATCAGGTTGCTCAGTGAAATTAGTGGAGATGGTATAGTTAACCGGGGGGTAGATACGTTAGTTGACTCCGTGTTCTCTGAGTTCATATTAGGAGGCAACTTAAAGGCCTATATTGTTAAGCATCACTCGAGTATCTTATATGGAGCAGTCACCTGGTTCGGTATTGCTGTAACTAGCAAGTGGAGAGAAATACTTCTCGCGACATAAAATTCCGTGCAAGTTTGCTTGGGTTTGTGGATTGTACATGCATCATGTAACATGGATGCAAAATAATCATTGGGTTATACTACAGAAGAATTATAAAACCCACTGAAGAGAAGGTAAATTAATGAAGCAAACGGTTTAAAAATATTGTTTTGGAAACGTGATGACGTGATACGTTACATAATTATGTTAGAAATTCGACAAAGATATCATTTTTGGAAAGAACATGTAACGATTTCACGTCTTCTTGAACATTGTAGATATTTTTGTCGAGAAATTGAAGTGTTGGTGGGAATGTCGTTGCTGGATACTGTGGAACTGCAGGGTATCCGCAGTGTCGGAGTGGGACCCCAGAATGCTAATGTTATCGAATTCCTCTCACCACTAACTATTATTTGTGGAACGAATGGTGCTGGAAAGACAACAATCATTGAAGCACTTAAATATGTCACAACTGGCGAGTTACCGAAAGGAAGCTTCCAAACATTTATCCATGATATGCGAGTAGGTTTGCCAAATTATTTTGTTTCTGTTTCTCATTTCATTTACTTTTTCTCATTCTAATCTTTTATCAATAAATATGCCTCATATTCGATACCAAAATTTTCAGAAGCCGGTTAGTTTTTAAGAGAACAGTGATGCATTTTAAGTTTCATTTCAGTCTGTCATGTTGTGGCACTTTAAAACGTTGAGAAATGTTTTCCATCCACACCTTGACAAACAAAGTAATTTACATTAAAACTGAAACTTAACGAAAATAGTGAAAGTATGTTGCTGGCAATTCACATCTTTTCACAAAATATTTTCAAAAATGTTGAAAACTAATCATCACTATTAACTTATAGCTAGCTGATAGATCTCGAGTGGATGCATCAGTGAAGCTCAAATTCAGAGATGTCAGGGGGAGATCTTGTGTTGTGACCCGTCGTATAATGCAGTCTAAAGGTGCTAAGGTGAAACATTCAACTTCAGAGGTTGGTTTTTTTTTTCGACCGACTTCTATCAATGTTAGCTTAATTTGCAGGGTAAAATAACAAATAAATCAGAAGAGAGTACAATTGCAATTGAGAAAGAGCCCGGTGAATGGAAAAGCTTATCGTCAAAAGTTGTCGACTGTAGGAAAGAGGTCCAGTTTTGATTTCGAATTTTTTTGTTTGATTCAGAATGCTGTGGTTATTGCTTTATATGCAGTTCCGGTCGTTCTGTATTAAAAAATATTATAGATTTTAAACCTTCTTGGCTTACCTACAGCAATTTTGGAATATGTGGTTTTCTGTCATCAGGAAGAATCGTCGTGGTTCGTCCAAAAGTTTTTTTTCTCTGTTACTTTTTTTTTATTTCTATTTCATTTCTATTACTAACGTTGCAGTTTCCATAACTACGCTGATGAGCTCTTTGTATTGCAGTTTTCCATTTTTATGCGTCAGTAATAGAGTGGCTGAGATATAATTATGTCAAAGCTAGCAGTTTTGTTACGGAACTATTTTATCCCGGTTCAACTTTCTTTTTGTCATTTCAGGCCGCTTGACGAGCCGAAAAAACTGAAAGAACGCTTTGACGAGATTTTTCAAGTGACTGGTTATGTGAAAGCAATGGAAATCCTGAGAAAGGAATTGAAAGAAAATGTTTTTTTACTTATTTTTTTTCATTTTACCATGTTTAATTTTTCAATTGACTGGTTATATTGGCATCACCAAATTCCAATTTGCCCTGTTATGTCGAAAAAAAAAATTTTGCAGCAGCAAGAATTGAGGATCATAGAAGGTAGGCTACCACTTCTCATCAGACAACAAGAAGAAAAGATCGAAGTTTGTACTTGTTTGCTTTTTTTTTCAATATCACTGCTTTTGCATGAAATTTCGTTTAATTTCTTCATTACTAGATCTTTACTTTAAACATATTTACTATATTATAGCTGCATAATGAATACATCAATCTGAAGGGACAGGTAGCAGAAAATGAAAAAGAAATTTTGTTGAAGCAAACAGTACTCAAGGAAGATACCGCTAAAAAAAATCTGAAAATTGCAGAACTTGATGAAGCAGAAATGTTAAAAAAGAAGCGCGGTAAGCACGGCAAACTTCATTTGATCATTAAATTTTGAATTCGCTTATTTGGTCTTTATTGAAATTCTAATTAAGATATGATGGAAGCAGAAAAGCAAGTACTTCTTGATCAAATTGAATGCTGTTTGGCATTGGATTACGAAGGAGGAATCGAAAATTTAAAACGTGAAATTGAGTTGGTATGAGATAATCTTTTTTTTTTATTTTCTTTGAATTTCAATACAAATTTACGAGTGCATACACATCAACCAGTTGCATAGTTCAAGCAGTTTTTCAAGGCAAAATTTTCAGTCACATTAATTAATTGTAGTTCTTATGGAATAGACTAACTTATGTAGAGCACCAGATCCACTGTTTGACATTGATAACTCCACTGTCTGAAATGTTTATTAGGCATTTGATTTTAATGATTTCAATTAAAGAATGGTTAAAAAAGCATCTATTTGTCGTCTGCTGAAAATTTCAATATAATAATGCATTCTTTGCAGATAAACCATTCTGATGAGTTTGAAGATATGGAACGAAATCGTAAGCGTATTAATGCTGAAATTGATGAACTTAGTGCTGAAATCAAAGAGTATGTAGCAAAGAAAAAGGAGATCGACAAAGTAATTGTACAACTGAAAAGTATTCAAATGGTGCATTTTTGACATTGATTTTTGTGTCAAAACGTTCATAAAGCTTCATATTCTGCGGATTGAAAGCGTGGATTTATTATATTTTTTCTAAAGTTGCATGTGCATTCTTCCTTATTTTCATCATTGTAGATGCGTTGTAAAATGATCGCAGAAAGAGAGCAGTGTTTGGAGACATACTGCTTACGATTCAATTTAAGGAGTAAGAATTTTTGATCAGATGGTTGAATTCTTGAAATTTGTTATCCGAACCTTCAACTGTTTTCTGTGGTATTTCGAAAATTGTTGTATTGTCTTCAGATGAACAAACAGGGATTCTAAAGCAGCTACATCACTTGATTGAAAAACGGAAAGAAGAAATCAGTAATTTTAAGGTAAATTTTTTTATCTAGTAGTTTCCGCATTTAAAAAACTTATCTTTTCACAGTATTTTTCACAGTATTCTCTCTATTTTTTTTTTTTTTGATTTACTGTTTGTATTAATTTTGGGTCAGTTACTCTTTATTGTAGAATAGAATGGAAGAAAAGCAAACGAACTGCCAGAAAGAAGTTGATGACATTTCGGGGACTTTAGCTCAGGTTTCAGCAAAAATAGAATTGAGGAATGAGGAGTGTAAACGACTGGAAAAAGATATTGCTGCAGCAAAATGTAACTTAATGGAAGCAGCTAATTCATCCGATAAGTAAATAATTATACTATCAGTTACATTTACCGTTAGTGCTCGGTCTATTCCTCAGCTGTTTTAATTTTTGAAGATTTGGTTAGTCTTTTAGATGCCCTAGTTTTTTGCTGCAAATGCAAAAAAAGATTTTTCATTTTTCACAGTTTTCTTATTGTAAAATATAAAGTGTTGATCAGCACCTCGAAATGTTTTTCATCGTTCAGTAATCATTGCCATTTATAACATGACATAGATTTGGAGCGAGAATGAAGAACTGTTCAGGCTTGATCGTTTGCAAGAAGAAATATTAAAACAAGAAAATGAACTAGATGTAATGCGGGAAAAAGAATTGGAAAATAATGTTGATGACTTAAAAAACGAAAGAGATGGAATTGCAAACAGAGTAAATTACTAGCTTTGATTGTTCTATTCTGGTGATGTCTATTATAGCTTTGTTTCTCGTAAGACCATGTTCTTGCAGTATCCGTAATTACAGTTTATTTTATCTTTGTTATATTTAAACTTCGAAATATGCTAGATTCAAATACATAAGCTCTTTTTTAAGATAGAATTGCTCAAGAAAGAATACTGTATGAGAGAAAATGCTGAAGGCATCGAAAATAAAATTAAACAAAGAAGTGTTGAATTAGTGAAATTCGAGAAAGAACTCAACATACTAAAGGAAAAGCATCAGATTGCGTTATTGGAAATATTCAGCACCAAGGAACCTGAATTCCCATTGAGGTCGGTTTAATTTGTATAGAACGAAAAGCTGCTTAAATGCTCTGAATACAGAATTCTGTAAAATTTGTGATGCATTGTGAACAGGAGTGGAAAAATTTTTTCGGGCATTTTTTGGCGCTAATACTTGATATTATTAGCACACACTTCAGATGCTTACTATTACATTCAAGGTATGCGCTAACTTTAGTTTTGCTATTTTATTGCTATTAGGTAATACTCATTCGGGGATTTGATAATTACGAAGTGATTTATTTCGTATATTTTCTAACGATGCATCCATTCTTTTCAAATTACATTTTTTAGTGAACGGCTCACCATCTATGCTCGAAAAGCAGAACAAAGTTTGTCAACAGCTGAAGATGAATTCAAAATTTGTGAGAAAGAGGTGTCTCGAGCTCAGTTTGCTATATCACAGATTGATCGAGAAATGGACTATCTGTCTGATCAGATTGGATCCTATAGGCGGAAAATAACGCAGGTTGTTTTGTTGAACAAATGTGGGCATTTGTTTAATTGGTTTCAATGTTTTCAGCGTGTTTGATATCTCCATTTTGGGAAAAGTGGAACGAAAACAAATATATTTTTGTTACCGTTGTTTGTTACTTTTTATGAATTTAAAATAAAGATGCTAATGAATAGTTTTCATTTATGCTGTTATTTGTAAGATTGCAGATTGTCACTCATGAAAATGAAGTGGAAACGCGCTTAGATGAAATTAGAACACTTCTTAGGAAATCGCAACAAGATTCAGGGCGCATCGATGGCTGTATGTTCTTATATGAGCAGTGGGAGGAAGAAGTTGTCATGAGAAAATGTTGCCCACTTTGCGAACATTCATATAGCAGTACAGAGGGTCCTGTTGTTCTTAAAGAAAAGGTTCTGACAAAAAGAATATAAATTTTAAATTTAGAAGTCTAGTAAGAGGTTGGGACCACGAAATGAATATTTGAGATTTTATGGAGATAAGAAGCTGTAGAACTATTTTGTTTGCAAAAATGTTTTTCAGAAATGTTAAAATGTTTTAAATCATAGTAAATGATTTAAAACCAATTTTCAGATAAAGCAGAGGAAAAAAGATCTCGCTAAAGATGCCGAAAAATTGATTCGTAAAGTGAAGGATTATGAAGCAGTGCAGAATGAACTTCTGGAAATTGTGCCTTATGTTGAAATGTTGAAACAATCAAATAGCGAGAAAGAAAAATTGCAGGGGAATTTAAAAAAAGCAGAAGTATGCTGCTTGGATTTATCCCCATTTTATAGCCTTTTTCCAACTAACACCTTTTTTAATTTTTACATTGCATTTCCCGTTCTGATAGAATATTGCATTTAGGAAAAATTGCATAATGTGGAAGCAGAGTTTGCGAAGTCGAAATCTGAAAGAGATATCATTTTACAAAAGTTGGATGTGATTCGTGATGTTCAGGTATTTCTATATTTCTGTTTATTTTTTTCCCCTTTCTACTTAACATAGTGATTAAAATCAGTTATATTTGATTAGAAATGAACATGGCACATGTTGATATGAGAAACATTCATTATAAAACAGATACAAGTTTGTTAAGGTAGCGGCGTAGGAATACACTTTTCTGAAATATTTTTTCGGTTAGTTCAAATTTCAGGGTGATGCTTCTCTGATGGATAACATTTGGAAGTCACTGTCGGATGCAAAACACGATATGACATTACTAAAAACAGAAGTTGGCACTGCGGAATGTAAGGAACGGTCACTGAGTGCTATACGAATCGAAATAAGACAGAACGAAGTCATTAAAATAGTGTTTTACAGAGCTATTATATTACTTTCACAATTTTAATGGAAATAATTTTTGCATGACTTTTTTCTTTGTAGCAGTTTCAACTTGCGATTTCCAGGACCGGTTCAAAGAACTGATTAATAAACTCGACTTGATCCAAGTATCAGCTTCTGAAAGGAACAAACTTATTGAAAAGGTAAGTTCTTAACCTTATTCGGTATCTTTTTTACTTTGTTAAACTAAATGTAGATTATAGTATTTCAAATAGGACGAAAGTAATGGTAGTATATTCCATGCTTTTCTGTGCTACGAATTGATTTTAAAATCATTATTAAACGTTTGGCAGTAAAATTCCCTAACTCACTTCAGTTAAATGAATCAAAAGAGCTTCGCACTGCTTTGTGTAAAAAAGGAGTGCAGATTGATTCAATAAAAAAATTGTTAGACGTTAAAGAGAAAGAACTGGAAGAAAGTGAGCAAGGTTTGCAGAAGCTGAAGGCACAAAAACCGATTGTTGAGGCGGAATTGCAGGTAGCTGTTAGTGATTTTCTTCTAATTTAATTCTCTTCGCATTATAGACCAAATAATGCTATGTCAGATTGGAAAGAATATAATGTAGATTTGTATTTATATATTAGGATTCCTAGAAACAACTGCATAGATCAACGAACCGATTCACATTTCATTATTCTTTCATTATAGATGAAGAAAGAGGAGCGGTTTGCTAAACAAAATGACGCGAAAAATAAGGAAGCAGAACTGTTATGCTCATTGCGAGATGCAGAAGATGCTGCAAGAGAATTAGGTATTTGTTGCGTATCGATGCAAGATTCAGAAATTTTGTTTCTTTCTGTTTGCTTTCCCAGCTCCATATTCGAAAATTTTTGAATTTTTAGAAGTGATGAATAAAAAACTACAAGATATTACCGACAGTTCTGAAGATTTAAAGGATCAAGAACAGGATTTATTGAAAATAGATACTGTAATTAGTGTAAGCAATGCCAAAATGCGCGACTTGGTCGAACAGATTGACTGCTTAAAATTAAAAGTATGCATTTTGTATTAAAATGCTAATGCTAACTTGGGATTAATGTTCAGTTTAAAGTCATATGATAGAAATTTTCTCCTACGGACATTTTAAAACTTTTTAAAGCTAGAATAATGATTTTATAGCAAGAGCGTAAACATCGGCTGGATGACCAACTTCGAAAGTTGGAATTACGGGAACGAATCAAAAGTTTAAATGAGAGCTTGAAAGAAGCAGAATGGCATGGTACAGCAATCCCAGAGCTGAGGAAAGAACTGAGTTCACTTTCAAGCCAAGTCAATGATTTACAATTGATGATCGAGAATAAAAGAGGTGCTAAATTATTGGTATAGTTTTTCTAGGACAACTTAGAATGTTGATACACAGTTTGTTGAATTGCGAATCTTGCTGGGGGAAGTCAGGTCTGTGGCTCGACATCGACTAATCATTGTTCAGTTACGTTTTTGTCTTCGAGATTGCTTTTGGTAAGTAATTTTGCATTTCCGGTGAACTGAATGAGCAGAAGAAACGGCTGGCAGTTATGGAAAAAATTTTGGCATCATCTGAGTATGCGCAGTTCAAAGAAGAATTCAAAAAGGAAGTCGTGAAGAAATGTGTTGTCAAAAGAGTTATAGAGGTTCTTTACTTTCTTGACACAGGAGTCTTTATCGTTATTTTAGTCTAGTAAGCATCCACTATTTAGAATTCTTCAACTATTTGATTTATTCGTAGGATTTGGCAAATTATATACGAGCAGTGGATAAGTCTGTTGTGGAATTCCATACTCAAAAAATGGAAGAAATCAACGAGGTGTTGAGTTCTTTGTGGGAACAAGTATATCATGGCAATGATATCGAAGCTATACAGATTAAGTAAAAATTTGAACTTTTCCTGCCATCTGTGGTTTCATGTGATTGTATCTGATTTAAAAATTACATAGGTAATGTTTTTATTTTTAAAGTATTCTAGTCTGAAACTCTATCTGCCCGAGTTCTTCGATATTTTATGTCAGATACAAAGTCAGCTGTTTCGCATTCACACAATTCCCTTCACTCATCCTTCGTTTCTTTTTAATTGAAGATCTGAAAGCGCTGGCGAAAATGAAAAAAAGAAATCATATAATTATCGCGTAGTGATGTATGTTGGTGGCACTGAAATTGATATGCCAGGGCGATGTAGTGCTGGCCAGAAGGTATGGCTTTTTATTACCTGGTATTTGTTCGTATTTATATATTGCAAATTAATAGAAGTGGTTTATGTAAATTGCTCCTTGAGCGAAGAATAAACCACATTTTATATTTTAAATCAAAAAGAAGTTAAGTGAAGTGAACAAAAATATAGAGCAAAATTATGGTTCATAGATGCAGTATCCATTTAGATGCTCGCATCGATATTGATACGAATTGCATTGTCAGACGTTTTCTGTGATAAATGCTCGATAATTGCGCTTGATGAACCGACTGCAAATCTGGATGTATTGAAAGTAATTTACCTGACTTCTAACCATCAAAAAACAAAGAGAGAGTTGATTGGTGTTGCGTATTTCTTCCTCAGCTTTTTTAAACATATGTAGATAGTATGTTATTTGCATATCTGTTATGCTTGGTTATACAAATTTTGCAAATTGAATTATCTTTTTAAATTTGCTTTATCCCGCACCTACTTTTTTTTATTTTCGGGTAGAGAATTTGGGTGATATGTTGGCAGATATTATTTCGGCGCGATGCGCAAACAATGCTAGAATGTTCCAACTTATTGTTATAACTCATGACAACCGTTTTGTGGAACACCTTCGACAGTTGTGTCGACCGGAATGGGTTTACTCAGTATCAAAAGATGATACAGGTTAATTTCCAAGATTCCTTGGCATTGGTAAATTTTTAATAAACAGCACGAAACTTTAAGTACAAATAGGTTCACAGTGGCGATACTATAGTATTGTATTCATTTCCGTTTCAGAACTGTTCTAAAATTTTAGAGTCGGTTTTATTTTACATACTTTTCCATGAGACATGTTTGTATAATTAATATAGAGGAAAGTTGATTTATGTTCTTTTTTAATTACAGGTTTGTCACGAGTGAAACGCCACCGGAATCTAGAAGATGCAACCATGCGTGAAGGATAAGAAGATGCTTTCTTATACTGTCTTGTTTTTACATCAGATATTTTGAGTTATTATTATTATTTTCTTTTTTTTTAGTTGAATGCTCAATTTATTTTTTTTTATTATTTGTTATATTAGTAAAATGTAGTGATATTCATATTTCACTGATGAAACAAATATGTAATTAACATCTTTGATCCTTTTATTTGTACGGCTGTTTTTGTCGTACCTTATTGTTACATGCTGGTTTTTCACTGTTTATTGTCTCATGTATTTTTCGAGTTTCTTGTCCAAACAAAATTTGAACTTTTCAATTAGTCAGCTCCATGTATTTGAATAAATTGTTCGAGTTGCCCAAATTAGTACTTGAATTTATGTTATCAATATAAAATTTATTGTACGTTATATCTATTTCATCGATAGCTTTATTTTTTCCAATATAATGTTATTTATGACATTGGATGGGAAGAGATACGTCAGTGATATTTACTACATTAAATATCATAAAGCTTTTTGATTAATGGAGAAAGAAAAAAAAAACCCAATGCTTTGTAAATTACGTTATTGGAGGTTCAGATTTGCAATATCTGGTTTATGATGTTTAGTTCGTCAAAAAACTAGATGTTCTCTAATGCTGGTCCAAGTTTGCCCCGGATCAATTTACCTCAGCAAGCACTTCGGCCTGTTCTCGATCCGGAAGTGACGGGATATGGCTGCAGCAATTCATCGGGTAGCGTTTATTTTTGATTCGAAATAAAATTTTGGAGACATCGAGAAATGTCAATAATTTAAAAAAAATTAACTCCGTACTAACTCCGCTAGTGGAATGATACTCGATAAAGTTGACGAAAATTAGTGTTTCAAATGCAGAGAATAGCTTCCTTTTCTAGGTGCATTCAAGTTGTGAAAGAACTCACCAAAATAATTGAATTGGATTGTTATAATTGATCCTCGCAAAACTTGATCCTCGTATACTGATACTTTTACTTGACAGATCCCACTCTCCTTTCTCCTAGCACTCTGAAGTTTTGCTTTTCTGCATATAGTAGTAAAGATTACAATCTGATAGAAAATAATTCAATTTGATATGCTTAACCTCATTTCACATTTCAGCACTCGTATAGGATCAAGGTCTTAGAGTACTTCATTTATACTTGTAAGAGCTGCTGAATATTAAGCGAAGTAAATATCATGGAACAAATGACAGGTCTTGTCCATTGAAATATAAAGGACGTTTTTGGAATTGGTGGAATAAGTTTATTTTAGGCACAGTTAATTTGCTACCTATGGGAGGTGGACAATCAACAGTTCCGCCACTAATTGTTTCACGCACCACATCAGCAAATCTGTTTGCGTTGAGACCACTGCTTCACTTATCTAACTCAGCGGAACAGGTACGTTTCGTTTTTTGAAATTTCTTCCGATCATTTTTGCAACAAAAAAACTCACTTCAATGTTATTTTAAGGAAGTATTTTTAGATGTCGGATGTTCACTATCGAGCACGTCGAAATGCTATTGGTTGTCCAAGACCTTTGTTTTCTGAGATGGGTAAGCGATAAACTTATAATACCGGGTAGTTTGAACTTCTTTTAATGTTTTTTTTCTCCCAGTTAAGAACTTATTAGTGAATATGAATTTGCTTAGAAAGGTACCAGTGGTCATCAGCATCGGCAGTCGAAAAGCCACAATTTGTGAGACCACCAGGAAGTAAGAACAGTCGGTCACTACCCAGTCTGAGAGATGTCTCTCGTGCCACTACAAAGCAGGTTATTTTAATAGTTTTAACGCTCATAAAGCTTTCTGGGAATATACATTTTATTCTATTGCTACACTCATGGATTTTTTGTCCGAGAAGCTGCTGAACAGTTTTTTTAATCTTCAATTCACTAATTTTTCAGAATTTGCATACAAGAGAAGTTGGGATATCCGATGTTGCTATTTGTACGTCATTATCGAATTATGGGATATCCACCGCGGAACCAGTAGATATCAGCGATGAAGATTTCAAGTAAATAAAGATTACGTTATTTCTAAACGTTGGCTAGTTCGATGTAAATCCCCACTTTTTTTGCTTTAAGTTATGTTGGTAATGAAGAAGAGCACGGAAAACACAAGAGTGATAACTGGCATACAACAAAAAGACGACATAGGAAACGAAGGCATGAAGAGTCTAGCAGTGGCGAAAGTGAATCAGAACAGGGTAATCTTCATCATTATTGTTAATCTTTTGGTTAAGAGAAATTTAAGATGGTAGTAGAAAATTTGCTTTGCAAGATTGAAGTGAATGTTTTGATATGCAAGGTTAGAAATTTCAATAAACAGAATAAATGGAAATAATTATAAATATTATAAACAAGTGTGGGGATTAAGTATTAATTGCTGAAATAAAAGTTTTTTGGGTAATTGTGCGGAATATTTAATGCTTCGAAACTGTCCAGGTAAAGACGTTCCTCGCTGGCAAAAGTTGACAAAAGAAGACTTTATTGACACAATATTAAGCGATACTGATGATGAAATTGACCAGGTTGAACAGACTGTCGCAATGAGTGGTTTCCATTCGCAGAGCATTCCTGAAGAAAAATTTTATCGCATTGTATGTCTTCATATACTATTATAATTCTATTGAAAAGCTTGCTTTCCTCAGTTTTACAAGAATTGTTTTTATAAACAATTTGAATGACTTGCTTCTAACTTCATGTTTACAGAACGATGTTGGTGATAGCTGTGCTACCGAAGAGTTGACAAAGTTGCATAAGAGATTCAGAAGAGAAATTACAGAAAAGATCGCGAAGGAAAAGGAAAATCAGCCAAAATCCGATCCTCCGGATATTCTCACATTTCATGATAACTGCAAATGTAAGATGCGTTTGTTATACAATCCTAATTTTTTGTTTGATATGAATTGTTATGATGAAAAGACATTTTTGTTTCGAAATTATGATGAAAAGATATTTTTATCTCGAAATTTTTTCAAAGAAAAAATATAAAGGGATCGTATTTTTAGGTGGCCATCATTCGGATACTGAAACTGAATCAGAAAGTTGTGATTCTGATGATTGCATCGATGATAGTGATGAGAGAAGTGGCAACGTATCTGTTGACGAACAACAGACTGACAATAAAGACAAAATGACTCGTCTTAAAATGAGTGAATCCAAAAAGCACAGTACTGTTGCCAAACGCGAGGTTATATCTGATTCGTGTTTGTTTACAGCTTTTATGGGTTTTCTGCAAACATCGAGGACATTTGTTGTTTGGAAGAAACAGTGTTCATTGCAGGTCATTAGGAAACGTAATCATCCAGCTATTTTACACAGTGATGTTTGCTTCAACGAAGTTGGTCAAATGAACGATGGGCCAGAATGTCGCTGTTCGTGGGCAGCTAAAAAATCAGGCTTGCGTCATAATAAATATGCTGGAGAGACTATTATCGAAAAGTGTGACCTAAACTCAAGGTTAGTATTAAGCTCCAAAGCTATTTTATCATCCACTCCTCTGTATATAACTTTTTCGTGTATGAAAGAAATTCTACTAAAGTAAACAGAATAGAATTTATTGTTACCGAAATACGTAGTGTTATAGCAGTCAAAAATTTTTTTTTTAGCAATTCGCATCGTTTATGGCATTATATACTTTATACTGAACCTAATCCAAATACTGTTGTTCGCCGTTCAACCAAAATCAACTATCGTGATAGAATTTATGAGCTGGAAGGCTTTTCTGTGTTTTTTCATAAGTCACTTCCATCAAATTTCCCCCAAACACCATTGTCAAAATGGACAAGTGAATATAACATCAAATTTATGCAAGAAAATATTCCAACGGTTGTTTTTCGTTTATTTTTTATCTATAAATATTTTCATCCCTCCATTCCTTCTTTCATTTCTCTACTTTTTTAAACAGTTTCTGTTTGAGAATTCTAGACAAAGTTTGAAGTCGTTACTTTTTTGGAATAAAATTTTAAAAATACTAAATGGATGAATTTCTTTCAGCGAATTTCTCATTCGAAAGTTTTGCAGAATTTTACAATAGAAGACTTGGAATTATTCCACCATTATTTATTTATCGATATTATGGAAATGTATGACTTGAAAACATATCCTCTTGATAATACTGATGGCTGTCCTTATTACCACTGTATGCCGAGATTTGTTTACAACTTTCCAGGTGATTGCTTCTTCCATTACTGCGTTATTTCAACTGTTTTTTTCTTGGCAATTTTTGCACAATAGTTTTGATATAGTAGTTGCTTTCAGATGGCGGGAAGGAGATATTACCTATGTCAGTTGTAATGATTTACCTGATTGAGAACTATCATCGTCTCATGACAGAGTCCGAAGCTCAGGTTCTTAAACAGGATGCTGATGCTTTTCGCGAATTTGCTGAAAATATGCGTGGTTCCTTGGTTATGAATGCAAATAAGGCCAGTTAATTGTCCTTGAAATTTATTGGATTTAAAATAATTGCATGGCATTCTGTTTTAATGCCAAAATAGGCATGTTTTTTGCTGCAAATAGATCTCATTTTGTGAAAAAAACATAAAATTTATTGTTTTTCTTATGATCATTTTATATTAAGTTACTCTTTTTTTCAGAGGCCATCGACGATTCGAGTAGATCTCATCGATAGGTCGGATTTTTTGCCTAACAGTCCGGATACTCTCTTTCCGTTGATCACTCATTTTGGTGTGAGGCCTTCTTCTCATACTTATAATTCAAATGCAGAGTGAGTGGATTTCCCGATGATCAATACTATCTATTTAATTCAATCAAATTCGAGTTTTTCACATCAAATCTTTACTAATGCACAGTTTTATATAAGCCTTGCTCTTTCAGATATCAAAAAATGTCCAAAGAATACCTGCGAATGCGTAAAATTCTTGCGATGAAGCCTCGTGTAAGTGCAGAGGAACGAGGAAAGCTTGCGCAAAAAGCTTCACAATTAAAAGCATTGCGTAATGACAGGTATTTACTTTTCCGGGTCTTTTTTTTCTTGTTTGGATATTTCTAGCTGACTACCGGTCGCAAAGATTGCGGTTTGGATTCAAGCATATGAAAACTGATACCAACAACAATTTTCGTCATATCTTAGTTTTATGATTTATATGCGCTTATTTTATGATTCATACACTTTAAAAGCTTATTTGACCTCCTCTCTTTACTTTTCAGTCAGCTGAAGCGGGACTTTGTCATGTCAGTGTCATCTCGTGACTTCTATAGTACAGGATTGTTTCCTGATATTGTACAGGTATGTTTTATATTTAGTCACTTCCTAAATCAATATTCAGATCGTTGTTTTCAGCATGGTTTACTTCTAATTCTTGCCTGTGCACATGTGCGTTTCCAGTGGTCCCTACAAGTATACGAGCAAGAACGCATTCACTATGTGTTTAAGGTTTTTCATCCTTTTTCACTTTTGTCTGAATAGTAAAAATGATTTAAATCATTCTACTTACTTTCTTTGTTATAACAATTACTTTATTTTAAAAAACCACACTTAGTTGACATAGTTTGCAGAACCGTTCACTTTTGGAGCTAGCATTAACTCACCCATCATATCGTACAAATTATGGTACAAATAGTGACCATGCTCGTAATACTCTTAACAACTGTGGTGTGCGTTCTTCCAAGCAGCGAGTGCATGATCGTTTGGTGCAACAGCAGTTAAGCGCCAAGAAGCGAGGTACTTGTATTCTCATACACGCTAAAAATTTCGAAGTTTTCTATTATACTTACAGCTTTGCAAATTGAGTTATGAGTGTATTACATTCAGATTGAGTTGAGCTCAGTTTAATTTTAGGATTCCATACCTTATTAGAGATCATGTCGAAATTGGGTTCAAAAAAAGCGGAACAGTCGCCATTGAACCATAACGAACGGCTGGAATTTTTGGGCGATGCTGTTATTGAATTTATTACCACTATTCATTTGTTTTATATGTTCAGCGAACTTGATGAAGGCGGTTTGGCCACTTACCGTTCAACAATGGTTCAAAATAAAAATCTTGCTGTGCTTGCTAAGGTTTTCTGAGTTTTCGAAAATGTTCAATATTAACAGTAATTTTTGTATGTTGTTGGCACAGTTTCGCTGCAATTTAAAGCGATATTTTTTGAGCTCCAGGAGAAACTTTTTTAGAAGATAGGCCTGGATGAGTTCATGTTGTATGCGCATGGACCCGATTTATGCCATGAATCTGATCTTAGGCATGCGATGGCAAATGCTTTTGAAGCAATGATGGCTGCAATTTATCTTGATGCTGGAATTGATGAATGTGATAGGTTCGTCACTTAATCTTATAAGACCTTTTAGAGCTCCTATTGACCAACATTTTTTATCTTGTTAAATTAATTAGTTCCTTTAAGAATTTTTGGTCACGCTATGTTTGCTGATTCGAAAGAACTACTTTCTACATGGTTTGACTTAGAAGACCATCCCTTGAAGGTAAATCAGATTCATCCTTTAACTTGGAAAAATTTTTTTGGAAATTATTGACGATTTTCTTTTAATTAATCCTTATAAAAGAGAATTCTGGAATCAGTTTTCGACTTCAGAGTTTTTATAATGATATAAGAACTTTCCCGAGTTTCTTCCGAGTTTTAAAAAGATCTGATCTTTTTAAGCGTTAAAATATTGATTTCAAAAATATTGTTCTTGAATAAGAATAAAACAGTAATTGTTTCTGAAAACGATTTTTTTAAATACTTCAGATTTTTAAGATTAGATCTCTTTGAAGGGTAATAGATAATGTTTTTCTTTTCTTTGTTTTGAATTCTCAGTTTTCTTATGTTTTTGCTGCTCTCCAATTTCACTTTTTGATTTTCCATTTTCAGTCCTTTGTAACGTCAATTTTGATTTCCAGCGAGATAATCCAAATGGTGATCGCCATTTGATAAATGATGTACCAGCACTTCAGTTGCTCACAGAGTTGGAAAAAAGCATCGGAGTTACTTTCAAACATATTAGAGTCCTTGCTAAAGCTTTCACTAGAAGAAATATTGGCTTCAACAACCTCACTCTGTGAGTACTTGATTTTACCTAATGTTTTTAAAAATGACAGAATTGGAGTTCTTAAAATTTTTATGTGAAAATTGACTAGTCATGAATTAGATTTGATACCAATTTTGTGAAAATATTCCAGAGGCCATAATCAACGTTTGGAATTTCTTGGGGATACAGTTCTGCAGTTGATAACAACAGATTATCTGTATAAACACTTTCCGTACCATCATGAAGGTCATTTGTCAATATTGCGCACTTGTTTGGTTAGTAACAGAGTAAGTTCCAACCAATACTCCAAAGTTTTCAATTTTTCGGGCGTAAATGGTTTGCGGTATTTGCCTCTTTTTGCGGGAGAAGGGATGGTCGTTTTTCTTGATTTATTAGTAAAATTTGTCTCTAAGGCATGTTTTTGTTACCTCAAAGTCATCAATTCTAAACATCATCATTATACGTCCTGATGATATTATCGTACATGTTATCGTCATACATCTCTATCAAGAATTTTCCTGATGGACTTCAGAACGATCTGGAAACTTAACTTTTGAGCATTGACTTGCTCAAAAGTTAGCATACAGTATTAATCTAGCATGCCAATAAGAGATTTTTAGACACAGTCTGTGATTTGTGATGATATTGGCATGACAAAGTATTTGGTTACACCAAAAGTTATGCAGAAAAGTGGGCTGCCGATATTGAGAGTAAAAGATAAGGCTGATCTTGTTGAGGGTATGTCTCTATATATGTGAATTATGCCGATCCATTATCATAAGTAAAGCTGATTGTTATGGTAGTTGCTGACGATATTATACAGTTGAGCAGCTTTGTCCGTATTCCTATTCATTCCACTGTTTAAGAAACTGGATTTAAAAATCCAAAAAGTTCTGTTCCCTGACATTAACGGCGTCTGTTGGTAAAATGACACAGTTGTTTGGCTGTTTGCATAATTTGTTGTTTTTTATTTAGCATTCCTTGGTGCTCTTTACGTTGATCGTGGATTCGATTATTGCAAAGTTTTCTGTAGAATTTGTTTCTTTCCTCGTTTAAAAGTACGTTTTTGATGCATTTTTTATGAGTTTTGATGGAAGCGCATCTGATATGGTTATTTAGTTATCTATCTCTTCAGATCACTTGTTCTCTTTAAATATTGAAATGATTTGTAAACAGCATGGATCGAACTTTTTTATTCATTTTGTATTTGCAGTGGAAAAGCTAGAAAGTTGACAAGTGATTTTTTTCAGTTTTTTATTATTGCCCAGCATTGGAACGATCCGAAATCACAGTTGCAACAGTGTTGCTTAACACTACGGCAAATGGATGGTGGTGAACCAGATATACCGGAATATAGGACAATAGCTGTTGAAGGTCCGACTAATACGAGGATATACAAGGTTGCCGTTTATTTCAGGTAATACGGTGCATTTTATTTCCATTACGCACAAATGTTTTACACACAGATGTTTTATTTAATTGTGATCGTAATTTTTAATTTCGTATGGAACCGTTTTTTTAGTTCATTCAACTTAGGAGATTGTCGGCTCAGGAGATCTACTGCTATCTTTTTTTATAATTTAAAAATACTTGACTTAAAAAAAAACACTTTCTTTATAATTTAAAAGCACTTGACAGTGTCCCATTTTTTTCTGTTGTTTTGCGTTTCATTTACTCTTCCTGTTTTGCTAGCTTTTCTTGATTCCGTGAAAAAAACGATTGTATTCAATACCTTTTTACTGTTGGTTCAGTCAGATAATTTGATGTAAATATGCACAGACTTGATGCACAGACATGAATATGCACAGACTTGATGCACAGACATGAATATACACAGACAACTTTGCATCTTTATTAGTTGTATTTCAGAAAAAAACGATTAGCAGTAGGGTGTGGACATACAATGCAGTTAGCTCAAATGCGTGCTGCGGAGAATGCTTTGATAAAAAGATCTGACCTTTTTCCAACGCTGAAAAATACAACAAAATACGGTGCAATGCAGAACAGACGTGATAATGGCCCATTCGCCAAAGTGTAAGTTTTTTGTTTCTTTCTTTTTTGCTTTTCTTGCAATATTTGAAATTTGTTATAGTGCAACGTTGTCTTGTCGCGAAATATAGAGCATTTTACTTCGAATTTTGACTTTAACTATTTTTAGTACAAATTGGGGTAGGATGACCTGAAATGATAATGTTTTCCAATTATATAATTATTTTTAAGGAAATGCGTGTCAACTGACCGGACAAAACAACGTACCACGTTTAATTCAACTCATGTTTTGCAGCCGGATACTGGATCATTACTCATTGATGATACTCAAACTTCTAGGCCACAGATCATTTCATTGCTTGACCTCAAGTTCGATGCAGATGGTTGTCTCATTTAGTTTCGTCATGCAGGCTTAGATCATGTTAATAAATAGTTCTGAGCATTTTCGTCGATGTTTAGGAGTAGCTTATGTATTTTTTAAATTTTATTAGAGCTGTATTTGATATTCTCAACTTCTTGTTTGTTCCCCATTCCAAAACAAATTTTAAAATTTTGGAATTTATGGCATCTTTCTGGTTGTGAGAAACTGGATATTCCATATCTCTTGCATATTTTTTAAATATTTGTTTGCTTCATTCATCACTTTTATGTTGTTTCGTGAGTCGTATCTATATAATAGTCACGATATCACTATCGTGGGATATATGTCACTATTTTCTCATTTCTTTTTTATCACAATACGTAGAATTATATACTTCTGGTTTTCCTGGCTCGATATTTTGGTAGATCGTGAATAGCAGTGTTTGGGAAGTATTACGAAGTCTGTGAAATTAATTTAACCTGAAATTGGGTTCCAGGGGGTGCGAAAAATTCAGGCATAGATGTGAACTGAATAAAGCAAATCGAATATTTGTTGAAAGGAAGAATATTTTGGCAAAAAACGATCAACATTTTGTTTTATGAACCCTTTTTATTCCCTTATAACGATCCAAAAATAAACGAATATGGTTTTTTTCTTTTTGTTGGTTTGTAATTATTCAGAATTAAATATTTTAATCTGGTGTAGTCAACCGATTCAACATAACATTAGTTGTTGATTTTGAAGAACATCGAGAGATTTGAATTCATGACAGTCTAGTTACCTGTCATGGTATTTGGCAAAAGATGAATAAATTGAGGTGAAATATATGACATTGTTTGATAACTAGCTAAATTCCAAAAGCGTATTTTATCAATTGCAATATGTAATATCTCTGCACGAGGAATGGTAGTTTGGTACTCTTAGCTTTTTTAGTTAAAACTTGTTAAAGTGATGGCCTTTTATTTCTAAGATTTGAAAGTGATTTCAAATACATTACTGCTTATGAATAATTCAATGGTTCATTCTTCCTTTTTTTCAGTTTCGAATGTTTGACGGTGTTTCCTATATATAATTGAAAGGATGTTCATAGTGGCAAGTACTCGGGCGATTAAGTCGTATTCATTTATTTCCTCTTTGTTTTTGTTCAAGTTTCAAAGTAGCTTTACATCCCATTTAATTTTTTTTCTCATTTAGTGTTTTCCTATAAAATTTTTTCTCTCAATTTATCTTTTACAAGTGATTTGTCGACTAATTAATAAATTTTATTTCCAACTCAAAGTAGTATCCTCACCACTTACGACATCTTACTGAAAACATTTCCGTTTTAGACTGTGCAGGAAACGAATTACAGAAGGTATAAGAGGGCGAACTACTACTTCTACCAACAAGGATATTGGTAAAACAGCTGGATCTTCGATATTGATTACAAATTCATCGGTGCTTGAAGTTTTTGTAAAAACTTGTTTTATGGAACAGTGTGTCTTTATAATTTAAGCAAAAACTTGAATTTCTTCAAAACGTTTATCAAGAATTTTGAGGGATCTTACGATTCAAAATGGTCACTGTATCCTTTGGATAAGTCGGAGCATTCTCAAATGAGTCATTTAGAGCTGAGTCTTTTCAAAAAACATGCTAAACATTTACAAGTCGATCAGCAGAAAAACATTTACGACGTCATCGACAGGTATCATGATTGAAACTTTGAGTTTCGATGTAAGAAAAAAGTTTTTTTCTCAGTTGATCTTTTGCTAGCTCTTTTGCGATTTTTTCAGGCAAAGCTTTATTAAATGATTCTACCGCTCTCTCTTGAAAACTGAGACTAAATTAAATATCTTGTATAAGCACTAATGAATTAAAGAAGGAGCCAGCATGGATCCTGAGTTTTTTCATGAAAAATCTTTCGCCTTTCTTTTATAATCTTTTTATCTCACCGTATTCATTAATTTTTCAGTATTGAATGGAACTACTTAGTGACGGAAGCACATCTTGAGAAAGCACTGCATATACTCAATGACCCTAAATGCGATATTAAAAAATTGGTTGATTCAGAAATTACTCTTCTTATAAATGCCACTGGATGTCGATGTCAAATGTTATCTGCAGCTCAAAGAAACGAATATACTAGTCGTTTACTTCATATCCTTAAAATGCGAGGTTAGCTTACTAGAAGGTTGTTAATTTTGTCAGATTAAATTCCGAGCCATTACTATTTGAATTTTAAAGAGTTGTCAAAATTTTTCATCTTGCGCTTTCGATGCATTCTTTTCGAGCTTGTCATATTCTATTGCGCACGTGGAATTCCCTATAAATCGAGGATCAGAAGTTAAAAAGAATTACAAAGCGCACAACCATATGATTATGTAATGACTTATTAATATTTGAATTTAGGCAGAAGTGGTCCTTAGTTTTAAGAATTTTCTCGGTGTTACCTGGAAATTCCTGGAAAAAATTAGTATATTTATAGGTGTTGTGTTAAACATTACTGCTCAAAATGCTCTGCTTGCTGCTCAGGTTGATAACCAGGTAAATGTCGATGTAGTGGCAACACTGAATCAGTTCGAATCAGATGGGCTTGTTCCCGACGCGCAAACATACGGTCAGCTTTCTCGAATTTACGCGCAAAAGGCCGACTCGAAGGGAATAATGTGAGGTTTTTTCTGTAAAATGGTCCTCAAAATTTTTTTGTAATTGAGCTAATATGACTTTTGCTGAATGCAGTGATGATCACTAATTCGTAAGCTTTCTTCCGCATGTAAGACCTCTCAATTACATTTAATCACAATTGTTCAGCTTCAGTTAATGCTATTTGTGAATCTTGTGGCTTGAAATACTTGAAATTTAAAACTCCTGTAATCTTACTACTATCGGTGGCAGAATCAAGTTCTTGCACGTTCCAAGGGAAATTTTTCTTGATGCTTATTTTCACTTTGGTTTTTTTCTTTGTGTTTAACTTTCAAGAAGTTCATTTGTTTTCTTAGTATCAAGATTATCTACTATTTTATAGTTGCAGTTTTATTTTTAGTGAAATAATCAAGCATGTCAGAAATATTGGAATAGAACTGTCAAGTCAGATACTTGAATCTTTGGTTTATAGTTTGACGATCTCAGGACAGGATGAGAAAGCGAAATTAATTATTAAAGTAAGCATTCCTTGTGGCTTTCGTTTTTTTCAATTTTTAATAAGGGTTCGTCATAAAAAGGATTTCAATACTTTATTTTTTGTTTGTCTTTAAAGTGTTTTCTAATTTTCAGCATATCACAAGTAATATGTCCCTGACAGATAGTTTGAAGATGGCTTACACATTGGCGAAAGTGGAAAACGCCGATGGTGAGAATGTTCTAGAGGTCAGAAGTGAACAAATTTTATTGCATTTGTTCTGTTTATTTATACATATATATATATATATATATATATATATATATATATATATATATATATATATATATATATATATATATATATAT